ATGGAGTTGCTTGAGTATCTGTTTTTTGTGTGTGTATCTCTAACCTTTAGCGACGTAGGTCAACAGTAAATTGACGTCAAACTAAAAGGCTTACGGGCATACATAACGTCATAACTTTTTGCAATTTCACACATTATGTCGTTGATCATCAATAGAAAACGGATGGTGGTTGCAGTAATACAAATCTCACTCCACAAATCTACAACGAAGTAAAATAATCTAGCCTACGCGTAACTCACGTATAGCCGTGTGTAACCACTCTTAACAACATAAACATCTACATTTCCGATCCTGTTCTGTGCTGATAAGAACGCTCGGAAGGCGCCCGTTAATTTAAAATAACAGGCAGGTTTGCGGTCTTGCCCTCTTCACCCCCATCTTATACCTGCTAGTGTTCCACAATGGACATTTACTGATCGAACACGTCGAACCCCCTGTTCTATTTCGAACACCTCGGTCAAAATCAGCGCGGGAAATCTAAGAGCAGCAAAATGAGTTGATGTCTACTTGATAAATACTCCTTGTTTTGTTAGTGTTCTACAATTGTAGGCGGTTATTGAGTTAACGCTGTTTCTTGAAAAACCTGTTCCATACTGTCTTCTTTCACTTCATCGTTTTGATTAATGACAACTTGGAAAGCTGCCAAGCGTCCTTTAGAATATAGTTTAGCCAGTGGACCCTGCGGCAGTATTATGGTAAGACAGTGTGTGATCATATGTGAACACACATACAATGGAGACACTGGGTGTAAACAATAAGGTGGTCACAGTTCTCACCGCATTCAAATTGAACTCAGGTTACCTACAGAAATATATGTATATAAATGAAGACACACCATACTAGGTACATGAACTTCTCAATCATTGCCAATAAATACAAATACAAACCATTGTTTTAAAATACATGCAACGTTAACTGCATCAGTTCAATACTGTCATTCCGTATCTCTGTGCATAGTTAGTATATGTCTTCCCACGATCTTTTGAGTGTTCTGGCAAAAGTTTGGCCAACAATGGGCCATGTTTGTAAAAAAAATGTGCGATTTACTGTCCAGTAGCAAAGATCCATGGATATCCTACACGAAATTCAATTTTAAGACCATACAAATTAAAGATTACAAAAGTCAATAGTAAATACAATATCAAAAGCAAGGATATTGGAGCCATATTTTGCAGCATTCACAATCCTGTTTATATACTTGTAATGTTGTGGTCATGTGGTGGAAGGGGTTTGTCTGCATGATGCAACTAGTGTGTGTAATACATATAATCTATACATTGCACAAATGATAAGGTGACTGTTTCTCTAAAAACATATCTGTCACTAATACACACATTCTGATAAAAAGTCAAGTGCCAGCCAGACATATCATCAGAGATGTGTCAAAAAGTCCATATATCATATTGATGGATGATCTGAGTAAGCCGTGTCAAATGTCAGTATCAACATAACGTTCTGTGTAAACAGGATCTTTGCACACTGCACACTACCCTGAACTGCACTTCCTCTTCCTGGTATACATGTAGTAAGTAGTTCAGCAGAGATGGTGCTACTTAGGTCTCACTACAGTCCTCTGTCAAAATGTTGTAACAAGTATAAGTCAACTATTAAACTTCTGCAACAGCTGATACCACCCAGATGAACAGACACAGGCCATATTCGTTTTGTTATGCACTGTATGTGTTTTTGTAATACCATGTATGTGTAAGGATATACAATGTATGTCTATGGGTTTATTATGACTCAATATATGTTGATGAATTTGTTAGGACTTCAGTCATGTAAATTGTATCCTGTTATATTTTATTTAACCCTGAGCTCCTCTTTCAAGACCTCAATGAAAAGCGGCCAACAGAACAATCTGAGTATTTCGTGAAAAAACAAAGCCTCAAACAAACAAATTGTTGGTACATGTACATCATTACTTAACCCTTTGTTGGTTGAGGATAAAACATTGATACAGGATTTCATGTGGAGACAGAAATAATTAGCCTTTCCCCTTCAGTAATTGTGCTGTAAGGTACGTACCATAATGTGATAACTTAGCAAGTATTAATTATGTCTAAATATAGCAAACAGGGCACCTGGAAACTATCATACACAGAAAGGTCCTGCATTGACATTTAACTCATACAACAGAATTTTGAAAGGCTTGCTCCATCCCCCTCCATGAGAGCAATGCTAATACGTGTGTAACAGGACGAAGAAGGACGCGCGTCTGAACTCGTCAATGGCTTGATCTCAACTCCTTTATTCCATCTGTACCGGCCGGTTCTAGAGCCCCTTCCCTCGAACGGTACCGGTATAGATCACCTGTTCGAACACGACGTTGGCACGTGCGCTGGCACGTGTTCGAACAGGCGACCGCGGCACCGCCCAAGGGAGGGGATAGAACCGGCGATAATACAAATGCTTTAATACTAACAATACATATTGTTACATTCCTCCCCCCTTACTTAAGCAGGTGCCCTCACCTGCAAGCTACTCATGCTAAATACGTTACATAATCTAATCTGATTACAAATCCATTGTTCTATTTCGCAATATATAGATTCTGAAGAAATATGTTGGCTCATCAATTCTCATAGACACATTTACAACTATTGTTAACATATGTATCCCATGTTAGAGAGTTCTGTAGGGAGTACTTTCGGATGTCCCACTGTAGTTGTTCGGCAAAGTTCGCATTTCCTCGCGTAATCCCTAGCGTGGGGCAGTGCGGGGACTTCCGGACCGTCACACAGCTATGTACAGTGTGATCCGGGAATGCAAAAATGATCTTCCTTGCAGTGTCGTCCCGTAGACTTTTTACTAGGCAAGCATCATATTTCGCAAGTAACACAAAAATACACAGGCTCAATGCGGCTTGGTCGCTTCCCGTAGGCGTGCGAGCAAGGGCAAACATAGAAAACATCACATATTGTGCAACAGCAAGTCAACACCACAAGAGTTCATAGGTCTTAGAAAGTTCTGTGGGTAGAGAGTTCGCAGCAAAGATCTAGCAGGTCACGTCATGTTAGAAAGTCAGTTCCTACTCATGATGGGGTCGGTCGTCTGTGACACGAGGGCTCCCTGGAGTCATCGGGCTGGGTTCCGCAGGCGGTCGGCGGTCGGGACGCGGCGACGTGGCACGGTCCGCTCGGGCCGGAAGGTGACGGCATGGCACGATCTTGACGGTCTTGGGCAGGGTTGCATGTCTGAGACAAATGGCAAATTCATAGCAGGCCTGGTTCACAGGAGCACGGCTGGGTACAAAAGAGGTCGTGGCACGTAGCGGTAGCGTCGACGGGTTCTTCGTCAGTGTGGCCGGATACGGAGCGGCGGCCTGGTGTGTCGGGCGGCATGGCGGCTGTCAGCGGTCGAGTCGGTTTGGCCGGGTAGCGGGCTGGCGGGTCGGGCGGCATGGTAGCGATGGCGGCGGTCAAGTTCTGCTCAGCCGGGGCTGTTGGCTAGTCGGGCGGCATCGTCGTGATGGCGCTGCGGTGGGTGCGGCCGCTCGCAAGCGGCAACGCACCGCTGCCACCAGATGTAACAGGACGAAGAAGGACGCGCGTCTGAACTCGTCAATGGCTTGATCTCAACTCGTTTATTCAATCTGTAACCGGCCGGTTCTAGAGCCCCTTCCCTCGAACGGTACCGGTATAGATCACCTGTTCGAACACGGCGCTGGCACGTGCGCTGGCACGTGTTCGAACAGGCGACCGCGGCACCGCCCAAGGGAGGGGATAGAACCGGCGATAATACAAATGCTTTAATACTAACAATACATATTGTTACACGTGTATTCACATGTACATTTGTCAGTTTTGCATGGTCATGCACAGGAAACTGGGGCAAACATCAAATGTTACTGTAACTAAGTACCTACCTTAGCCTGAGGCTTAAAAATACTGATAACTACAGTAATCATAATCATTATTCTTGCAGGACCTTTGCACGTTGGGTGACACAGGACATGAGATACCATGGATCAATGTGTAGCCTTGCAAATCCAACCGTTTCACACATGAACAAAAAAAAACTTGTATTGAAAAATTAAGACATCTGTGTGTACGAATTAAGCTTGGATGGTTTTTTTTAAACCGAATATAACGTCATTTTTCCCCAAACGGGGGTTAGACGTGCTTGCAACAAGTACAAGTCTATTTTGGGTTGTCTTTGGAAATTGATCAAAAGTTGAAAAACATTACCAGACTACCTGGCTGTAATCCAGGTTTGTGTCTGCAGTTGTAAACCTTTTGACACGGCATCGCGCGGGCACATTGTACTGGTTTACCAGGCTTGAGTTAAACACCCGTGGCTTTAGTCAATCACCTGTGGCATCATGTGTGTGGCAGCTTTCTGTGTTATTTACAATCCTAATAATGACACATAAAGATCGCTTACTGTGTGTCTGTTCTGAAAACTCTTTACTGAAGTCAGAACCACCAGCACTTCTAGCAGTATAGCTGAGAAATCCACACTGCTAATACTAAAGCCCAGTGCAGAGCCACTAAAGCTGGTGCCTAAGTCATGGAGCATTTGCTAGGATCATTGCACTAATAACCCTTAGTCTGCTAAGGGAACTGTTTGTTACACTCTGGATCTATGGCTGTGGGCAGTGTATTGTGAGTGGTTTATCAGTCCTGTCCTAGCATGGCAGTCCTGGCCACAGTTGGACAGAGTATAAAAGTGGAGACCTTTGGGGGTTGTTGTTAGTTAGCCTGGACTACAGGCAGGTTGCTGTTGCTCAGTTATACCATTGTATTTATTATTGCCCATTTGATATACCAGGTTACAGATATTCATATCTGGAGCCACACACACAAATTTCTTTAATTATTCCATCATCGTTACTTACTTCTTTTCTCTGACGCCTTGAGCCTGGAGGATGGCATTATTGGTACATTCATATTCCCATTGTATTTGGCTATCAAAACCTGTGTTACAGAGATATTCACCACTCTGGAGCCACACACAACAAACTTTTCTTTAATCATTCCGTCATCATTGTTACTTACTTCTTTTCTCCGACACAGCCTGCAGGATGGCGGTCAGGATGTCGCAGTTCTTCTGCAGCTTGCTCTTCCGGCGGTCGCGTCTCTTCAGCTGACGGACCAGCTTCTGGGAGATCATGTTCGTCCTCCTCCGCAGCTCCTCTACCATCTGACGCAGCTCCTTCACATCTGCACCAGGACAGGGAGGATAGTTTTAGAGTTTATTATAATGCTAAGGCTTGGGTCACGTTTCCAAATCGGGGCCTGGCCAGGCTGTTTGTATGAACGAAAATTTATCAATTTATATCAAGAATTTACAGAAATATTGCCCATGATTATCATTAAAAACTTTTCTGTGTTTTGTTGTCTTTTAAACTGTATTTTTTTGTTCCCAAAAGCTGCCTGGTCGGGCCCCGTGTGGGAATCTATTGTGACCTCAGCATAAGAATCTAAGATAGCTGGGGTAGTGAAAGATTGTTTAGTAGGTAGGATTCAGGTGATTTCAAGGTAAGTATGTTTGGATGTTTGGGAAAAATATCTAGTTGGTGTCTTTTTTTTCACTATTAAACCTTTCAAAATTTGTAATTAATATTATATTGTTCTTATAAGAAAGACCCCATATTATATATAAATGCCAGTATGTTTATTACACGGAAAACAGCAATTAACTTATGGTATACAGTGTATACAGTTCAGATAGAAAATGAATAGTGTTTTAAGCCAACTGTCCATGAGGAAATCTACAGGATGTTTATCTAGCAGGTAAGCCTGTTGAAAGCACTATGAAACTTCTCACCCCAAGCGGTGGTTAAAGCCATCCAGTGCAGTTTTCAGGGCTTGGAAACCCGACTTTTCAAAGTCAACATTCTAGTCATTTATCCACATACTAAGTTGAAACCACACTATCCCCATGCATGTTGACCCTCATGGAGAAAAAATGCCGAAAATTCTGACGAAAAATGGTTACTGAAAGGGCCCTTGGCTGGTTTTTAGGGTACCACCTAGAAAATAAAGGACATCTTGGGACTTGTTTCTGCAGGTTTAAAAGCCCAAAGTATGATGTGCTAATGTGAAGCAGTATGTGTCAATGTCACAAAGATTGCCTTATTCAGAATATTTCCAGTTTTGCTGCCAAGAAATCGCATTGGATGCCTTTAAAAGTCCCAGCCTACCATTGACTTTTACATGGTTACCCCCAAGTGTAATAAAACCTACATGCCTAAATAGCCCACAGTCATAAAACATGTACATGGCTGGTGCAATTAAGGAGTCTGTATTTGTCACTGGTAAACTTGGACTGCAGACGCAGCAGTTTGCTTTGTATGAATAATAAAATACTTCAGGCAATTAGCATTATTTTCCTATGATGGTTGTGCCATTTGGCCTGAAATACTCTCATTTTTTTCAGCCAAACACTATTTTTGCCCTGATTTCATTTCTAAAAATCATTCTTGCTTGATGATCTTCCAGAACTTTTTCACAGTGAATTTCAATCATTACATACGCTGTGCACGCAAATATCTAAAAAAAAAATATCTGTAACAAAGTTGAGTTCTGTTGGAATTTTGTTCCTAGTGCCAAAGGCAGTCATCCCTTAGATGAACAGGATATTATACTTTATCTGATGTTACATGACCTTTTCCTTACCACTACTCAAGTCAGAATAAATATTTACTTATCCCAAACACTGGTATCACGTTTATATTTGACTCACTGGCATTAAGGGAGTGTCCGTCCAATGTCACATAGCATGATTTTACTAACGTTTACCTCCATACACAGAATAACATCTAAAGTTACATCTATAGTGGCATAGCTGGTGGCTGAAGTCATGTATATGTGATGCAGGTTATTCAACCTTTACAAGTGTACTTTATTAGTGTACCAGTCTAGAGTTAGGGCCATATGGCACTTAAGGGTGCTGAGGGGCATACAACATGATATCTTAGCTCATAGGTTATTAATGTTGGGTTTCAGTTAAAATCCTGACATGTATATAGAAAAAAGAGGATATTAGTAATATTACAATCAAAGAGAGCTTATTCATTTGTGTCATTCTGGTACACTGGATTTCTTAATAGTTTTAAAAGAGTATTTCTCAGGGGGGTTAATACCTAGTATTGTTACTTTAAAAAATGTGAATAATATTTGCCATGATTTTAAAAGTTAATGTTTCTTTATTCAGTGCGCCCTGACAGACAGACAACTAAGAGAAACGTTTATAAAATAGATCAAATAGATCATATCTTGCGACAAGGCGACCCGGATAGGTATTAATCACAAGCAATTAAATTGTGCAGCCAAGCATAAAACTGTGATTTTAACAGATCTTGGCGCTCCTTTCATGTTATCGGAGTTTAAAACATGAAACTTGTGTGGGTAACCTTCCTCCACGACAACAGCTGATATATGAATATATTTCTTAAGCGTGGTTGTTACAATTTTGTGGTTGATTGACAAGTTTTGAAATGATCGAAAGGACAAACATAGCGTCCTGGGACATGTTTAACTTTCTCTCTAGAATACAGCCTACAGGTGTCTGAGTGTTAAGTTACAGGTAAACACAGACGCCCAGGTCTGTCTGCTTGTATCTAGAACATTTCAAAAGCGTTTGGACCTAGTTTAATAGGATTTGGAAATGTGAAATAAGGTTCAGTTCAGGTTGTGTACGTTTAAGATTGGCAGATGCCAAATGTGACAAACTACGTATCGGAATTTTGTGGCCCAATTTACTGAGAGAAGTTTTGTAAGTTGTCAACCCATTTAACAGAACACATCGCAACACAGAGCGGTTGTTATAGAACCAAGATGACCTAACCCGTTGTATTTTACTGTGTAAGAAGAAGTGCATAGTGTAGAAGCAAGTTTGTAGCCCATATTTTACTAACCCTTTTCTCGTAGACAGGCGCTCTGTACCCGTGACGTGTACGTAAGATGGGAGGGCTCTAGCTCCTGTTCAGAGCGCGTCCCGGCACAGTGCACCTCTGAAGTGGAGGAATACTCCGTGTAGGTGTCGCTGTCGAGGCTGTCCCGCCCCAAACCGTACGGGACCCGGTCGTACAGCTCGCAGAGAAGCCCGTCGATGAGCGACCGCCGATCCTGCTGGTCTACTAGTAACCCCAGCCCTCCCCCTCTTTCGTCACCCTCCTCTCGCAGGAGCCATTCCCCGAAGTTGCTCCGGACCGTGCTCAGGCTCCAGTCGGACCCCGAGCTGTTGTAGGACCGAGAGCTCTCCCTCCTGCGTAGCGGCAACTCCTGCAAGGCTTCCTCCAAGTCGCTGTCGTCGTCCTCTTCCATGTCTGTTGTGGCGAACTCGGAGTTTGGAGGGTCCGCCGCCATCTTGCCATGCTGGCCACCTGTTTACCTCATCAACATAATTTATGCACACTTGTTCCGGCACAGCTGGGGGCACGGCTATTGTGACGACACAAAAGGACTCAATGACAATCGATTTTTTAAGGGCTTCTTGAATACGCACTTGTTGAGTCATGTTGCCATAGACAGACATATGACGTTCAGACGAACCTTGTCTGAAAAACAAGGTGTCTAAATCTCTCTAATCGCGCATCTGTTTACTTATCAAGAGTGTGGTACCAACTCAGGTAACAAGTTCATGTTCATGATTTAAGCATACTCAAGCTATCAAGACTGTTTTCATTGCTGATTGAAGAAACAATACAAAGACAATTAAGGACAAAGTGGAGCTGCACTCAAGTTATACACTTATCTTAACAGCCCACTTAATTCTTAACTTAAACTGGAAACAGATACATGTGAAGAAAAACTCCCTCCCCATACATATTTTCCCCATACATAGTTTTCATTGCTTGAGCATGAAATATGAAATCAAAACCGAAGGAATCTTCAGTAATAATTTTATTTTGTACTGTCTGATAGGCCATGCATGACGATCTCTTCACACTACACCATCAATACCTTTTCTGCTCATTGTCAACTTTTGCATCTTAACAACTTTTATCATGTAGATTCTTTAAAATAACTAAAGCATCCATGTAATAAAAGATGAGCCAGACAACACTATACCTTTGGGTCTACTTTATTGAACAGACATCACATTTAATTTAATTTAGAACGTAATAATGTTACAGCTGTCAATAGCCGCAAAGAAACCTGAGCGCTCACATACTGATTTTGTCATACATGTATAGTCCAAGCAGCAAAAAAATTGTCATATTCAGACCTTGCAGTGTACATATAATGTATATGTACTCAACACAGGCATAGAAACAAATAGTATGATTGACTTGTCAGCAGTACTTCCATAGCAACTATTAAGTTGGAATTTTCATTTCCATTCAGTGGAAGACATAAACTTGGAAACAAACATTGTGATAGTTACACTTTTTTTAAAGATGTTACTTAAATCTGTATACATTAAAAGGAATAAGTTTGCATGATATATGATCATTGACACTCAAACAGCATTGTACTGCCATGTGCCAATAGCAGGACTGTAAAGCACCAACTTCTGTCATTCCGAAATATCTTTTTACACAGCTGAGCACCTAGCAACTTAATAATGAACTGCAGCTGGACTGGACGTCTTTTTTTGCACTCATTCTGTGCAACTCATGACAGTAGACTTAAATGGCTTCGGGACTTTTTGTACACAAGCATGCACATGCAGATTCTTATGCTAACTTAACAAAAATGTTACTACTTTTCTTCATTTCTGGTTACCATATAATATTGTGTCATAAAAAGCTTTGGCTTTCCACTCTTTGAGATGGTACAGGTGAAAGGCTCTTGATGTTTCAGCTACGATGATGCCTTGAGTTGTAGCATACTCTGTAGAGATGTAGGGAGAGAAAGAATCTGGTCAGAAATCTGATGTATGTCTTGAAATTAAAATATTTACTGTAAGGTCAATGTAGGCAATGGTAAATTTTTGAATACGAAAAAGTGGCTAAAATTGTGTACTTTGCACGGCTTATATATCTGAATACAAAACTTGTTTAACTTTTAAAGTACAAATGTATATGAACATCTAAAGTACTTATGGCATAAGTACATACAATACAAAAGAGTCATGATGTTGTCATCAGAAGCAAACAGAGACAATTGCTTTAAAAAACACTCGAAGCACTTAAACCCATCTCTGCTATTGTGTGATCACAGATCCACTGTGAACTGTTAAGTGTACTAACAGTTTAAACAGTCAGACAACAGGTATAACATTGTAACCAGTCACATATGAGCCCACATGGGCATGAACAACATCCAACAATAACCTCTGTGACAGGTGGTGAACAGGTATCTCCAACACTGATGTACCTTATGCCTGTTGACCCAAACCAGTCCTCAGGGAATGCTTGCATTGCAAATAAAGAGTCACAATCATGAAAAAATCCTTCACATCAAAGCAGACACAAAGGACACAAAGAGTCCTTCACATGAAGAACGATCATTAAACATCAGCTTCACAGATGCCATTTGGAAGTCCCTCTTGAGGAAAAGGTAGTGAACATGTGCAATACAAGATGAGGTAGGTGAGTTTCATTCATATATGCCAGAATTTTATCTCAAATGGGAATGCATGGGAGGATTACACTTTAAAAGTACTACTATGGCTTTTTGAAGCCCTAAATACCTTTCATGTTCATTCTAGCAACAGCATAAAGTAAAATACATTGAAGCTGGTTACAGTTTCTCAGAAGCTTGTAAACCTACCAATCTTGCATTTTCCACACAGCTGGTGAAAGCTTTGGTCTGCTGTGCACAGTTGAGGGTCTGTTTGGGGTTTTCGATGTAACAGGTCATGACTGCCTCCTGTAGATCCTGGCAGACTGGTTTGTAGTGCTGCTTACTGTGGGATAAATGGTACAACACAGAAAAACAACAATCATGTGGGCTGGCTTTTTAAAATAATTAAAAATACAATCTATAATGTTCTCTGTAGCAGCTTCTGTAGGAGAAAAAAAAAGCATAGTACTATGGCAATGAGCAAAACTAAATCTTGACATTAGCTCCCATTTTTGACTGTGGGATGCAATATTATTCATATGGTAAGTGATCCTATCAGACCCAAATAAAACAAAAAATATGCCACCAAATCTCACACCACCTCAATCTTTATTCGTAAACAAGTTTTATCTTCAATTTCCATCTGCCACTATTTACTGTAGTTGTATTCATAATAGATGTAAAACATTTGTGAACTTACATGAACTTGGCCTCGACCTCCTCAGCTGCCTTGTGGAACTGTTCGACTGTCAGCTGGTTCAACTGTGCATTCTGGAGGGAACAATCATTATAACTTACAAAACATATACAAACAATAAGTGTCAGTCTACAACTGTAGCTTTAAACAGATTGGCTTCATCTTTCATACTTTTGACTAAATCTGATAGCATAATGCATTTAATGGCTGGGTAAGTATGTAAATATGCCAAGAAACAGTCATTGGTTTGATCTCACACTTCTTAGTCACTATGTGTATATGGAGGTAGTGTTTAAAAAAAAGCGATTTCTGATATGTGAGAGCATTTATAGCTCAATGTAGCAGTATGATAGTTTTACCTTTTCCTCCACTGACTGAAGCTTGTCTTGCCAGTATCTGTCCCTTTCCTGTATGGCTTCGTGTAAAACTGCTTTCTGCAATGCATAAAATGAAAAGTTTGTTTGTTGGAGTCTGTTTATTCATGAAATGCTCAAATCATTCTGCTGGCTGCTTTTCATTGAGGTCTTGATGAATGAATTCAGAGTCAGACAAAATATAACAAAATACAGGTTACGTCATGATTGAAAAAAAAGAAGGGAATCTGTTCATAACAATCAGCCAACATGATTTTATTTTAAGAAATGCAAAAAAGTGAATCTATGAAAGATGAGCTACATTTTCTATGCATCTGATTGCATTCAGCTGCTTGTCGTCTCATGTATGTTGTACTCTATTAGCAACATGACACTATAACAAACCTGCTCATGTGGAAGTAGTGTTTCTCTTGGTATGCCGTCCCTGGATCTTCCAGCCTCTGGCTCTAATGGTGGAGCACCTGTTAAGAAAAACTTGGTCTGTTATAGCATGTACATTTTATGTACAAAAATTGTACATGTATATATTAAAAAAGCATATTACCTACCCTGTGATGTCCCTGTTCTTACTTTCTTACTTACATTTTTTGTTTGATTCTGTCAGTAACTCACCCATTTACTTGTTTACGTATCTGCTCATTCCTCTACTAATGCAATCATTTTCTTATTTATTTATTTATTTATTCCCTCATTCCCTCCTTCCCTCACTCACCAGTAGATGATGGTTCATCCTCAGGTTCTCCCCTCATCCTCTTCACTACTGATGCTGACACCTGGACATTCAAAATCATACAATGAAAAAACATCAACATTGCAGATTTTCAACAGACTGGACCTGTAAACCTTGATACATGTACTTTTCAATAGTTCATTGCTTTTATAACATAAAATCAACACATTTTTTCATGTCAATTTTGGGGGACCTATAAAATATGCATTATATGAAAGATATTGAAAATCTTGCCTGTACACCTTTACATTTATGGTAACCTCAATTTTACATTGAACTACGGATGATGATGAGGTCAATCTTTCATTTTTTTTTCTCGTTTTTATTATGTAAAATTAAAAGCATTATTATGTTTTTAATATTATTACAATAATCTACAGAACATAAATATTACACGGAAGACAATATAAATTTTGGAGCAAAAACCAACTCCTAACGTCTCCTACATCTGTAGCTAGTTCTAGAGATTCTATGGAATCATATATCATATAATTACATATGGAAGCAAATTTATTGCCAAGCAAAAAGGAAGAAAGTAGAGTGGCTACCTTACTAGTAGTAGTACTATTACTACTAACCCAAGCGTGTGTATAACAATTACCTTAAGAAACGTAGATGGGTTATACAAACTACATATTACGCTGTTGAAAGAATACGCTACAGATTATGGTAATGAAAGAACAATAACATGGCACGGAAAAAAAATTATTGCCCCCCTCCCACCCAAATTCGTCCGGTACCATGCTTAGAGGACACAGAGCACAGACGAGACAGCTGCAGACATATACGCACCTTCACCACTCCCTCCATGTCTCCTTGCTCTAACGTTACCTTTCTCGTACTCTGGGATCCTCCCATGGCGAGCTGAAGACCCGATATTCGGCGTTTTTGCCTAAAAATATCCCCTTTTCCACCGTGACACCTGGGAGCGATGGAGGGCGGGGGTGAAAGGTGAACTTTATTTCCCGTCAGGCAGTGGGGGGTAAAAACGCGGGAGAAATATCGTGTTCAAATACGTCAGCCAGACCGACTCAACTTCCTTGTCTGTATAACAATGACAACTTGGGAAAGATTTACGATGATATCCACCTTACCCCAAAACAAAACAGCTTCTTCATAATTCATGTATGTTGACAAAAAAGACCCGATATTCTGTGGTTATATTGTATCAGGTAAAAGCTGTCGAGTGAGTTTCCCGTAAGTGTGTCAAAGGTCGTGCATCCTTTTTCCCGAACCGGGAGGTCGCACTTCCTGGTAAATCTCGAGGTCTCTACATAACAGAAGTAAAACTGTCATTGGCAGGCTTATAGTCAAGAACTTGATCACGATGATGTCCATACAATACAAACTCTCGCATCGGCCGGTACGAAGGTAATGTTTTATGTAGTCTTATGTGTGGAGTTAACTTGCTGCGGCCTTAGTTAACGTATACTCGTACATTGTATTTTGCTCTTTCACAGAAATGCTACTTCTTGGTATAGCTACGGTACGAAACGTTAGTTCTGCATCATGTGTGTCTAGAGTGTCACTATAATATACCTCTGCCAGTAGAAGATTTCTTGTTGGGACTAGGAAAATAGCTCTCATTGTGGGGGAAGGGGGCGTGAGGTTCAATTCACATCCTTTACAATCAACACTAGTGTTCAACGTTTATATAGATGGTTCCTGTTGGTCTGTGCCATGACGATTATCTATGGAACAGCCGCCAGGAAAGAGGAAACTGTGCAAGACCAAAGCCAGAACAATATTGATGTATACGCCAAGGACTTCTCTACTTCACCTGTAAGTATTTATCTGACTGCAACCCTTTTTGAAAAGACGGATTTGATTAAGATGCTTGACGATTTTATTGACATATATGTATGGTTTAATTTCATTGAAGTTCTGAATGCTTTGGAAACATTTAACCATCACAGTTTATATATAAATCAAAGGAACTATTAGAAACAGTGTTAACTTTACAGTTGGCCCATAGTGGCCTCTGTTTTGTCTTTTTTTCTCAATTTCTATAACGCATAGAGGTTCCTTATTATTGTTTTAGTGGATGGTGAACCAAGTGCCGTATGTTATATATCGCCTGGCTGTTGCCGCCATCTCCTTGTCTTACCTCCTGTTTGATCTATGGAGCAAGTGTACAAACCGCCAGGCCGTGTACTGGACCACTCGCTACACGCACTGGGGCTGCACTCTTCTTGTTCTACATTTCTGGTAAGTCGATAGTCTTGTGTTGGTGTTGTTCATCTAAAGTATGCTCACTAAAGATGCTAAAAGATGATAGGAATCCAACACGAAAAATGTGACTGGATTACGTAATTAATTCACAGAATATGATCCATTTGTGACCTAGTACCTGGCTACGTGCTCTTGCCACAGGTTCACAACGTACAGCAAAATTAGGATATTCTCAGGACAGTACTAGTTGTAGATGTTTCATACAAATGATATACAGTCGTTGATGTTAATTTCATACAATAACATAACCTCACACCTGTCAAATAGAGTTAAGGGTTTAGGTTATTTCTAGATTAGTAGAAGAAGTACATTTTATTTCAATGAAATGTTAGTAAATGATTTTAGAACTGTCTTTGAAACTTATCTTGAAAGTTCATCTGTGTTGGTAGAAGTCATTATGAAGTAAGTTTAAACTGTAATTTCCAACACAACAAAAATTGGACTCACCCAAATTTTCGACTGTACAACTCCAGTCTTTTTCAAGGAATGAGCAATCTTGTTTAAAATCATAATAAAATGGCGCATATGACTGCAACGTACGCTATTCTTTTTTTTACCACAGCTGGAGCGCCGTTCTCGCTTACAACTACCACGTCAGCCCGCCATCCTACCGGCATGCACCGCTGCAGTGGTACCACCACGTCTCCAGGGCGCTCTTCAGCGCCTCTCTCGCTCCCAGCCTCGCCATCGCAATCCTCTACTGGTTCGTCATCACCCGAACAGGGCCGGGAACCGTCATCAAACACGGGTGTAACACCCTTCTAGCAATACTAGACGTGTTCATCAGTGGGTACCCGTTACACATCAGCGATGTTGTGTACTCGATGTACTTGATAGCGGCGTACAATGTTTTCATTGCATGGTTGTGGAAGATGGGCTACCATGCAGGGGGTTACTATCCACCCGTGATTGACTTCAGTAGAAGTGTAAGAAAGACCGTTTCTTTCATGGCGCAAGTCGCTCTGATCGTGCAACCGGCGTTTCATCTAGTGTTCTATGCGTTATACTGTATGAGGGAGTGGATGGTACATGTGTGATTGGCGCTATGAAGGGCCGGTCACATATGTCGCGCTACCGTCGTACGATCACATATTGGGGGGATTCGTGGGACAGTCTTGGACATGTCGTGCAAAATTCAGCTTGTCTTGTTAGTAATACGGAAAAGGCTGCCTTAGATCTCTGTCGGCGGTTGTACGACCTACAACGAATGTGACCGTGCCGTTACCCCAAATTTATCTATTAGTAATACTAGTAGTAGTATTTTAGTATATACTAGTATGTACCGGTTGCAGGGTGTCATTATTTGCATATACATGTATCGTACACGATCTGTATCTGTATCTGTAGAGCCGGTATATATATAACCGCCCTTCGGCGTAACACACCAGCTTGGACGATAGAAAGGTACCAAAGTATAAGAACCTATCGAAGTACCAGTGATGATAATCAGAGTATTTGCCGTGGACCAAACCGGCGACTGAAGGTGTAGAACATTAGTACAAAGCTCCACAGGAACGCAACCGGCGTCGCAGTGGCACGGCACTGTATGGAACACAAGGAATGCGTGTAAGTCTTAGGGAAGCAAGTTTTGACAACTACACGCTTCTCTCTGTCACTAGTAGTGCAACCGATACTTTTGGTCACTAGTGGTTCTCGCTTGATGTTCAGGCTTCAAATACATAGGGTAGGGAGGAGACACAGACATGCCCCCCCCCCGAATTGTGTATGATTGTAAAAATATCCAAGGACTATAGATTGCAATATCTAAAAACTATATCGTAATAGACAATGGTGTACAATTGTGTATAACACAGTGTCAGTGACTGAAATCAGAAACACAATCCTTCCTTCCTAGACCTCAATGGATTGTAAATATACTCACCGCCGTCGAAGTTTGACCGCTGTCTACCACTTCGTACACGGAAACAGTTCCGCTGACCGTCCCGCCAACCAGCAGCAGCGGTCTGTCGTTAGGGCTGCGGTCTGAAGGGACAAATCTAACAGGGAAGAAAGAAACAAACTTTAGTTACGTGACTAATAGAAATTTATTGACTTGCTAATGCAGGCTAGTCTGGGTTATTATAACTTCGAGTGCGAGTATGGGAGCCCCGGAATACAAATAGGACGGCACCCAGGCTAAATGACGGCGACTTGCGTCAAAGAACTAACGTTAATGTTTGAATTTTTCATAGAAACGGTTTTTCCAGGCAAAAGGGGCACGTGCATTACGTCAGTGTATGCCCTACCACCCCTATGTACATGCCATACTCAAATGAGTGCCCGTAGTCCCGTTTGTAGCCGTCCTTGGTGCTGAACGCCATCCAATGGTGTGGATCATGCTTAGCGATTGTTGCAATGGTTTCTCCATGAAAACCTTTGTAATCTGAAGACATCAAATTCATATGCAACGAACGACACTAGAAAGAACGCCTTTGTAAGAGAGTAGGGGTGAACCGGTGTGCTTGGGGGTGGGGGGTGGCAGCAAATCTGTATCATCACAATTGAACACATTGGTATGATGATTTTACTAACATGAGATCTTCTGGGGTGATGTCTCCCACTTCCCTGAGCCGGTACGCCTCCGCCCAGACCAGGTCCGTTCTACCCCCGCGGTAGACGCTCTCAAACCTCGGCACAACCGCCTCCGCGTCCCGTAAGCTGTACAGAAAGATGTCCGACGTTTTCTCGTTCCCAACGAAGATCACCGTCTGGTCTCCCATACGGCCAACTGTTAAGGCCTGTGGCTCGGGTCCCTTAAAATGAGAACCAAAAGAAAAGGAAATTTAAAAAATTTAAACGATCCATTGTTTTCATGCAGACTTTGATAAGCATTGTAGCGCACAAAAAATTTGTAAATTTGTTCATGCTTGTTTCAGAAAGAGAGAGGGGATCTTGTAGATATAGACGTAGCACAGTAATGCAGCACTTGTTCCTCCTACCCTTATACCTCAGTTATCTAACGTACTGCATCTGGCCCATATGTAGGGCGTGAATATGCGATAAAGTTCAGTCATTGTCATTTTTTTCTAAATTAATTGAAGATCACAACACCAACCTTAGAACACGACGCGTCATCGAAACTGTCCTCCGGTGTTTCGTCTATCATGCTTTCGCTCTTGAACAGTGAGTTGAAGACATCAGGGTGGACCCGGGCTCCGATCCTCTCGAAATCGTCTCCGCTGTCCCACACAAGTCTCAGGTCTTCCGCGTCGAAAACGGACACGCCCCGCCCGCCGAACGCGTGAAGCTCCCGGACCTTACGAGGGTCCCCCGGATCCAGGCCGTCCGTGATGCTGAAGGTTACACAGCCTGGGACGGAATGCAAAATATTTTTCATTATCTCATATCTTCATATTACCTCCGTTTCTAAACAAACAAGGTCAATGACCTGGACTAGACGACTGTCACCATGGTAACTGGTGTTGTAGCAGACACCCTGTCGTGTTGGATTACATACTATAGCAAGTGGCAGGATAAAGTTGGAGGGACTGGTTACGTGTTTTCCACTGCTGACTGTATCAGAATATTTTTGAGGAAAGAACGAATAAATTATTTGTAAAGTAGAGAATATATACGAAATGCACCCTCGAGATAGAATGAAAAGTTCAGAGAAGAAGAAAAAAAGTCGCCAAAACTACGTCACCAAGTTGAGCCGGGTCCATAAGCGCGTCTCTCAGACTAGAGCTGACGTCATCTGACAGTAAGCCGTCTGAAATGAAGGAAAACAAGAGTCTTAGGTTTCACTTTAGTATGATATACTATCTGTAAATTATCACGATTCCACGAAAATAAAATGTGCAGCCTTTTAAGATTTACATCCAACCACGTAATTTGTGTATTTTGTGTAATCTCCAGGCAGAACTTTTGTTAGGGGTAAGACAGTATCAAATTGACCAGTCTGTATCCATTTCCCCACCGAAATGGATGCAGGCTGGCCAATTTAATACAGTCTTACCCCCACCAAAAGATCTGCTTGGAGATTATATTTTGTGATCATGAACCAATTTCACTGACAAATTGATTACTCCTGAAGGTTTCACTCAGGATTTCAAGAGTCTCGAAAAAACTGCCCAACGTAGCGTCGATACCGAACAACAAATGCGTTACTTACTTACTTAAATGAGTATTGTATTGTCCCATGTGTTGGTGGCGGCATTAATATAAGTTGAAAAAAACTTGAGTGTGCCGTCACCACGTCTTGTGATTAGATGTTGGAATATTTTTAAAAATGCGTTACTTGCAATGTCCTGTCCCCGCAAGGTGTCGCTGTACACCGTGCCGTTGACCGTGATGCTCGTGGTGACGCCCTCGTTCGCTGTAGCGATGTAACCGCGCCCGTTGTGCGTGAAATGTTTGATGGCGTCCGGCATGCGTAGTCCGTAGATTGGCCAGTTTCTTAGATTTATCCCTTAAATTGAATTAAAGCGGAGTTACGCACATAACTGCACATTCTGGATGTAATATATGCCGCACTTAATCCTATAGTCTATGTGAAGACATTCTTGACTGTTTTAGAATGACATTTTAGAAAATGGCTCTTGTTTCATATATCATTATATTCATTATTAGAAGGAAGGGTGCCGTGTAGGAGCCTAAAATGAAAGGTTAATACCAGCATGCAGGCGTTACAAAAACGCTAACAAAAGTATGAGAGACTCTGTATAGTACAAGTGACGTCACCTCCATCCTGGTCGCTTGTGTCTATACTAGAGAGATTCCAGTCTTTGCTGCCCAGGGGGTAGAGGTCCTCAATCGTCGCTGTGCGCATGTCCAAGACTGCTATGGCGTTGTTGTCCTAAAAGTGAGGATGAGGTCGAATACGATTAGTTTCAACACACGTTTAAAACAAGCCGCTAGGGGGTCCAAAATCTAATCATTTCTAGGTCTCATCAAGACCTACCCACCTACCAAGTATCAAGACAATCCACCAAAGCCTTCTCAAGTTATCGTGTTTACAGACGGACGGACGGACACACACACACATACACGAACGCCTCTGAAAACATAACCGTCTTGGCGAAGGTAAAAAGAGTAGGAGCATGCTCCGGTGTGCGATGGTCCAAATCGTATCTGATTATTCACCATGGACTCCAGGAAGAGTAGTGTGAAAGTTACACTAATGGAGATCCTAAACTAAACTAAACAAACAAACAAACAAACAAACAAACAAACAAACAAACAAACAAACAAAAACGTCTTACAAAGGAAATACATGTCTAAAAATCAATGTACGTTATCATTAGGGACACCTTAGACAACTGGACATATATATTTATATATATACATTCCCCACCTGTAGAGAGATGTAGGCTTTGGAGTCGTCCTGGTTGAAAGTGACGTACTCCGGCTCCAGGGTCTGGGAGAAGTTGAAGGTTGTGACGTGGTGGTCGTCAGGGGCAACGGTAGCTGTGGACCCGCCTAGCAACCAGCGTACACCCCGGGACTGGTACAGGGACGCCCTACATGTATATAATATATATATATATATACGTAATATATAATATATGTAGATATACGTTTTTGGTCTGAAAATAGGTTAAGGGCTTCAATTATATGACTTTTTTTTTATCTATGTCAGCTCTCACTCAGCATTAGCAGCCGGACTGCCTAGACAGAGCGCTGTCAGAGGTGTGCGCTGAGGAAAGAATTAACTTCGCGTTTGAATTTTTGTCTGTCCCTGATCTTAGCGATCTCCCTCGGAAGACTGTTCCAAAGTTTAAAGCTATGCATGTCATTCACAGGTGTGAATGAAGTTCTGTGACATACATCCAAGATCCAATGCTAAATGTCAGCTTATTTGGGTTTAATACCAGGTCTCAGGAGCCCAAAATATGCACCCTTCGTCTGAAAATGGCCATAAATCCTTAAATGAAGTTGAAGTATGAAGTTATATTAAACAAAGGGGGGGGGTTGCAGTATTTTTTTTGCAGAAAAAACTTTTAAGACAAATAAAAAAATCCAGCAATCACATTTCATCAAACCGTCGAAAGTCTGCCCTCCGAAGAACAATATGTACGCTGCCCAGGTTTGTATAATTGAATTCTAGGATGATGGCAGCTCCTCTGGGGTCCTGGAAAACCCCTGTGTGGTCCTCGCCAGGCCAGCCCTCGTCCAAAACTACCAGTGTGCGACAATCGTGGGTAAACTTCAATGAGTCCGGCCTGGTACTACCAACTGGAGAAACGGGAAAGAATAAGTCAAACCTATACATTAGAGTACCTTTAGATAGAACCTAGTATGTTATAGATAAGAATTACTGTCAACGTATGCCTCTTGTTTAATACCATATGATCTACTACTTTTATACCCTGTAACATGTTTCATTTTTATTAATTAACATCTTTCAACGAGATAATGTAATTCATTCCTGACCATACCATATTATTATCAATAGAGTTAGATTGGTTTATTACTAGTCTTTATTGTTGAAAGTAGATCCGCGGCTTCTTAGAAGAATTAGAACTGTCACCTCTTAGAACTGCGAGATATTGTTAGCATCACCAACTATGTAAACTTTGCCATACTGTAACAGTGGGGGGGGGGGTCATAGGCGCTACCAACTGATCCGGTGGGTCTAGACCTTCCAGCTGATTCAGTAGGAGCGTCGGATTGTAACCTGGCGCCCGGGGGCCGTGGGTTCGAACCCCGGCCCGGGACCATGCAGCAGGGTTTTTATCTGTTTCTACTGCTCCTCCTCTTTCTTACAATACGTTGTATTCGTTGCAATCAAGTTCTTCTTCTTCACCTTTAAAGCCATGCAGAGGCACCATGGTTTCGCCGTTGCCCTGGTATACCGGATAGACGTCCGTTCTGCCGGGTGGAAGAGGCGTTCCTTCCAGCGCAATCGCGACGTAATCACCACAGACGTCTACATCCAGGACGCCCCCTGGCAGCTGCTGCTGGTGTAACACCTTCGGCTCGGAGGGAACCGAGATGTCAACAACGTTCAAGATACCAGCGCCTCCTGAAATAAAGCAGACGCCGCCTTGATAACTTTAAGTAGATATCGCTTATCAAAAAGTCCCCAGTGTTATTGGATTCACAGACATGTATGTTGGTCGGACAGGCATGCGGCGTTGTAGAACGTTTACGAGGTCAAGGTTAGGGAGGTTCAATCTAGCCTCTACCTAGCCTCCAGAGCATGCCAAAAACTGGGGTTTGGAGGGGTCTTTGGGAGCTTTTATGTGCTATTTTCTGATTGCATATAGACAACACAGCCGGCCTGGTTGAATTACCCCCATTTTTTTAACTGGGCTAATCACCACCTAACCCCCAGCTTCTATAAACCTGCTACGGAGGCTACCTCTACCGTACCAGGCTCCGCAGATTGAAGAAAAAGTATACTACAAATTAGCTAAATAGACTGAATAGTATGCCAGAAGAGTTAGGCGACATGGGTACAATTTGCAGCCTACAGAAATTGTACTCTATAGAGGGCTAACACCTCTGGCATGGTGTTCTGGCCAATTAAGACCATGAGGAGCCTGATAGAAACTATTAAAGAGTTCGTACCGGCCGCGTAAACTACTCGACGTTCCTCGTCGTAGCCCAGCTTCTCCACGGCGCCGGTGTCCAGACCGTACCGCGGGCCTTCGCCGCCCTCCCCGCCCAGGCTGTAGGGGAGGTAGACCGAGGAGAGAGGCCGGAGCGTGAGCGATGCCGAGCTCAGAGTGAAGAAACACACCAAGGACACGGCGTGCAACTGGAGGTCACAGTTTGCGGCCATGTTGCTGACGTCACTTGGCTCACAACTTTTTATCAGTAGTTGACCCTTTGGGGCTTAGGTTGACTCTTCTGCCAGCTAAAAACAATAAATAAATGCTTTGCTGACATTCAATATTTATTAACGTGCACTCAGGAATAACCATGTTTCAATGTTATTTCGATTAATCATCAACAATAATTCATATCAAATTAATTACTAATACTGTATAGTATGACGTCTATAAGTAATCTATAAGAAAATTCCAAGGTCGCATGAACTGACTAAGGCGTGCCCTTTTTCGGGACAAAGTACATTTGGCTGTATTTGCTATTTTGGTGTAAACCGCTAGATGGCAGTTGTACAAGCTGACCTGCAGTGACCCCGAGTATCACCCTTGTTTCCAAGAGACCAGGAAGCTTGACGTCAGAGTAAGAGTGTGCGAGGAAGACAGTTTATTACACAAAATAGCGAATGTAGAGACAAATCCTGACAACCAAAGGCTGAACTTATAGCGTCCTCTCGTGCAGATCAACTTTACACAGCCAGGTAAGGTAAAGAGGTAACCTGAACACTTTCTAGTGCTCGCAAGTGCCGAAATCTGTGTGCTTGAAAAAAAGAAAGATGGCGGCCAAGGAAAACTTTCTTGGCGTGAGTTTATACAACTTGGCTGCAGTGTTTGCGGACCGTTCAGAGCTGTTATAAGTTTCAACTGTACAGTGTCGGCAGTATTCAGTGTAATTTCATAAACAGAGTTGAGGATAGAACACAAATTTTACCGTAATATGGCTACAAAGGTTGGCAAAATCTCTTCTTTACGTACGACTACTAAGTTTTGAAAATGGCGGCTGGTCAGTTCTGACCACTACAGTAGGAAGGTCTGCAAGGGGGGGTATTGATTACGAATTACGCCAAATTTTCGCCGCCGATTACGAATTACGTTAAATTCTCAGAGCTGATTACGAATTACGTTAAATCATGCCTAAAAAGGCCTGATTACGCCTTACGAAAAAGGGCTTGCAGGCCCTCCAGTAGCACTGCTCTATCTTGTCCCAAATTTTGCTTTCTCGTCCTTTTTTTTGGCAGTTGATAACATTTTGTGTGTGTTGTGTTGTGTTGGTAATGTTATGTCTGCTTAATATTTCATGTCCGTTTCTTGGTTAATGTGTGAAGTAGAGTTTTGATAGCGGACCAAAACTGAAGGCAAATCATTGAGCGATAGATGGGCAGATTGATTAATTGAAGGAGACAGTATCCTAGCTAGCACTTAAATTTTTCGTGTCAAGATTTCTAATTATCATTTTTGTTGAAATGTATCAGGTGTCATTATCTTTGTTCACTGGTTATGATAACAAAGATAAACATTTTATTGTCTTTTTCAAGTTTTTGCAAATTTGTCCACAGCTTTTCCCACACTGCACCATGGGTAATGGATCATCGGAGCCCGCGGTTGGCCAAAGGTCAGCTGACGACGATACGAAAAGCCCGGAGCTGATTGAAGGAATGGCGCGAGTCATGACGACAGCCAAAGAACGACGGACCGCGAATCGGAATGTCTACACGAGAGAAGAGAGGGAGGAAGAGGAGGAAGAATATAACTACAGGGTGATTTTTGGAAGGCTGTAACTACATGTATACAATAAAAGAGTACATCTGTCTCAATAGAAGTATTCTTTTATTGCACCATAAGTTATGTACAGACATGTTTCATAAACATGTATCAATAGAAGTATTCTTTTATGGTACATTATTTAGTGTCCAATAAAGAGCTGTTGACTGAGGGAAAAAGAAAAGTTGTAGTGCAAAGGAAAGAAAGCAAAGCAAGACAGGATGAAAATAAAAGTAGGTCACTCACCAGACAAACTCGTAAGTTTCTGCCATGTGTATACATGTAGTTTTAACAATACTATACCATCAAATTGATCAGCTATGGAAACTTCATCTGGTTGGTACATGTGTTGGTCATTGAAAACCAGGCCTTTCAGCTTACGCAATGAGAACCATATTTTCCAATCTAAGTGATTCTGTGTTGTGGCAAAAGTATTCAGATACAGGTATACTGAAAAGGGTATTTCGAGCCCTGTCTCTGCAAAATAAAGTTGAAATCCACATTTGTCATTGTATATTTGTCAGTTGTTAACAAATGACAAACAGGCATTAGCCCTGAGAATAGTTGTGCATAATGTATTGTCAGTGTTGTTTATGCCTGTACAGTTTATGTACAAATGTATGCTGTGTTCCAGGAGAGTGCAGTTATCCTGACCCAGCTGTTTAAGAAGATGGACCCAGCCGTGATGAAGAGTATTGGGGACGTGATGGGGGAACTCAAGGTGTCCGTCAAGTTCAAGTCCGACCAGTCGCTGCTGCTGGTGAAGGTTGTTGGGGCGCGTGACCTGTCGCCCAAGGACCTGCGCGGGAAAGTCGCCAACGCGTTTGTGCAGGTTTGTATGCTAAGGAGGTTTCTTATATTTACCTTTGCAGAAGGAAAACATCTTTTTTTTGGTCTGTTTCTTCTTCCTCTTTTTCTTCCTCTCCAAACAATAATGTCAATGACCTGAACCAGACATCTACGTTGCTATGGTAACTAGTGTAGGGTTACACCATGTTGCAATTTTATAGCAGGAGGGATTTAGACTCCTGTCACCATATAGTGTATATGAATATGTTTGAGTAAGATTTAACAGAGCAGACCATATGCGAAGTTAAGCATTATGCATTTGCTTTGCAAATGTTACCTTTCTAGTTTTGCAATGTGTTTGTAATGCAAGTTGATGGTATGACTGAAGGAAATGCCATTTGCTTTAGTAAAATCATTCCCTCTTTGAAAATAAGAACATTACATGAATCCTAGGTTACATTGGCCATTTGACGTTTTATTGGGAAGTCTTCAGAACCATTCCATTCTATTGGTTGCAATTCTATTTATAACAGCTAGGGGGCACAGTTGAGCTTCCTCAGTTTACTAGTACTTGTATGAAAAGACCAAGTCCACTGCACAGTTCTAATGTTCTTGTGTTTTAAAACTTCTGTTCAAATATGTCCAGGTAGACCCAGTTCCTGATCTAGCTACCATAGGTGTCAAACACAAGACACAAATGTGGTTAACAAATTTTAAGAAATCTTTAAAATGTGCTTCTTTTCTAAACTTCCTTTTTGAATAATTTTCTGTGCAAGTTCCAAATCCATCTGGAACAGGTGTCAAACACATAAATGTCATGAAGAAATTTTTAAAAAAGTCTTAAAAAGTTATTTTTCATAAAAATGTTCCAAACTTTGTGCCTATTAATAAAAGTGGAACTAGTCCCAGATCAATCCGGCACAGGTGTCAAACACACAAATGTTACAAATAAATAAGAAGAAAGAAAGAAATTAAGTCTCAGAAAGGTATTTTTTTTTACAAAAAATGTTCCAAACTTTCTGTTTGACTTTCAGGTGGACCTAGTCCCAGATCTAATCAGCTCAGGTGTCAAACACACCAACGTGGTGAAGAAGTCGCTAAATCCAACGTTCAACGAGATCTTCGCGTTCCCGTTGGCGGAGGGCAGCTTGGCGGAGACCAAGCTGCGACTAACGGTGTGGAACCACGACACTCTGGGTGGGGGGGACTTCATGGGGGAGAGGATCGTGGAGCTGAGTGATGTGGAGCCAGACCTGGTCCTCACTAACTGGTACCCTCTACAGGAGGAGGTGGGTTAGTTTAACCATTGGTACACTGAGATACATGTATGCTTTCATCTGTTGCCATATAGTATATGTGGAGCCAGACACGGTCCTCACTAACTGGTACCCTCTACAGGAGGAGGTGGGTTAGTTTAACCATTAGTATACTGAGATACATGTATGCTTTCATCTGTTGCTATATGCTACAAGAGGACTGGAGGTGGGTTAGTCCTAGGTTTAACCATTGGTATACTGAGATCTGCTTTCATCTGTTGCTATATCTGTGGAGCCAGACCTGGTCCTCACCAACTCGTACCCCCTACAGGAAGAGGTGGGTTTGTCCAAGATACATGACTGTATGCTTTCATCTGTTGCTGTATGTTACAAGAGGACTGGAGGTGGGTTAGTCCTAGGTTTAACCATTAGTATACTGAGATCTGCTCTCATCTGTTGCATTGCTATACGTGGAGCCAGACCTGGTCCTCACCAACTGGTACCCCCTACAGGAAGAGGTGGGTTTGTCCAAGGTTTAACCATTAGTATACCGAGATATGCTTGCATCTGTTGCTATATGTACATTTACTTCTTTTCATATGCCTGTAGCATACTAAAGGTTAAGTACTAAGTTAAGTACTTAAGTTAAGTACTAAAGGACAAGTTTCCAGCTGCCAAATGTAAACTTGGCTTCAGAAGGTAGGTAGGAATTGCTAATTTCCAGTCTGTAGGTTCATGTATGTCTAAGGTACGTTGTCTGCTAGATATTATAACAACTTGTAAGTGCACCATTAGGATACAAGCCACATATCTGTAAATGCTGTTTCAGAAATAATTGAAATAATATATCAAGCAACAAAGGCTACAAATTTTATAACCAATAATGGTGACAGTTCAAACTTCACAGCGATCTGTAACCTTTTGTCCCCCTACGTGATCTGGGATGTAATCCTTCCGAGCGGAAGGGAATGTTAACTTTTTTTTGGGCGCAGCACCAAAACCAATTAACAGTTCTGAAGGCATCTGTGTCCGACTACACTCCAGGAGTGAACCTGCCACATCCTCATGTTGACTGTGAACTTGTACTGTTTCGTTCAAATGTGCGCACATGTAGTCAGTAACCTGTTGATTTTATGTATACTGTTCCCCAAGTAGAACCAGATGATGTTTGTCAATGTTTTGTCGAGATACGGGGCTTACACCCAAGTGTGTCCTTCCCATTATCAAGGCTGTCCTGTTGTGAGCTGTTGTTTGGGACCAGATTAGATCACCCCTCCTCCCTCCCGACACACAGACAGACAGACTGTCCCTCACAGATGGTCCATGTGAATTGCAGGAAGCATCTTTGCTTTGTTCTTTTCCGAATGTCAGATGTATGGCGGGAGCAGGAAGGTGTTGGAATCGGAGTTTTCCCGTCCCCCCACGACCGACCCCGGCCTGCTTCCTGCAGATAACCAACAGTAGGAAGTGCTTTCATTTCCAAAGTATTTGTTTTTTCCGGCCGCGGTGGTGGTGGCGTGTTTTTTTGCGCGGCGTGGTCGCTATTTTCGAGATGTTGGTGTGTAACAATTGGCGGAAGTGGCGGAAGCGAATAAAGTGGCGATGTCAGCGGAAGTGTCGATGCGGGAAGATGTCGCCCAATCATCTGCTGTGATCAGTCTGGTGATGATCTTGTGACTCTCAACGACAAAAACAATGTCTAGAGGCAGGAAAGTTACGTAATGTGTAACTCACAAGTCACCCTTACTCTCCAAAATGGTGCAAAGCATTTTTTAATCACAATGTCATAATGTTAATCCAACTAAGATTTGCCCTTAGAAAATACTTAGATCTTACAGTATGTATTCAAATCTTGCATTTTCAGTTGGATAGATTAAATAATACTGTCTGGAAATTCTTCAATTTGCATGTATAATTTTTTGTTGTTGAAAAGTACCAATCTGAATTATGAGTCTGACAGTATAGTATGCAAGAGTTTTTTTGGAGAGAATGCTACAAGTCCATAGGCTTGTAGATACATGTATGGTACAGATCACTTGCAGGGAAAAAAGAAGGAAACGCTATAGGAATAGAAGCTTAAAAGAATCGAAAGAAAGCAGGAAAGAAAAGAAGTGATGAACAAAACAATGGCAGTAGTTGATGACTTAAACAAAATGAGTATTGACATTGTCACATGATGGTGTACCCATTTTACCTAACTCCCAGTCAAGAGCAAACATACTCAGTATTTTTCCATGCAAACTATACAGTACATTTCCACTTCTCATACATGTAGCAATTTTATAAGAAACTTTATTCGCAAAATCATGCCCGAAGGCTAATTGCTTTAAATTTACAATCATGTATAATACTCATTACACAGTAACAGGAGGCAGGTAACAACTGTCTGGGAAAAAAACCCACAAATAACACAAATTTAACTCGTGTACTAGAGTAAGCCAAAATTGTTTTGATAAATGAGTGAATAATAAATTATTGCTTGACAGGTACTTTGTAAGGCAACTATACTACAAGACTTATCCATCCTACATTTATTACTACAAAATGTGATCAAAAACAGTATGAATAGTTTTATTGCATGGTATTTGAACGAACCTTTTTATAGTGGGGCAGAGCTTACAGAATGAAACATAATTCATCTTACATTGTCATCACGTTATGCAACTTTTATAATACTATCTATGCAGGGAGTAATGGAATATTCATAGATTACGAGCAGAAAAGTATGAAATGCATACTTGAATCAGTAGCTATTTGATTTAGAACAATAGATTTAATAATCATCCTTCTGCTAAGTACCAGAAAAGCTCCGGGTTTGTCGGAGATCCACTGAAAAAGTGGGGGGATCAGCCTCCGCAATTAATAAGCTGTGCAAATTAAGATACTACATTTGATTTCCTGCATGCAGAAATTAGACGTTCCCAAGGGTTGGCAGTAATAAATTAGGCCAGGCTCACGTAGTGTTCTGATTAGGTGCCTGGAAACGGGAGCGTGGAGTTAGTCGGTTTGCGATCACACAGTTAGGCGGAAACGCACGGTCCAGCTTATCTGGGTTTGAGCATGTCTGATCCTCCCACCGCTCTTGTCTTTACTCCCCCTCCAGGCACCACCGGTAGATTCAACATGGTGTTTCTTTCCAGCTGATTTGGATTTCGGATTCATCTGCGCGGAGGTAGATATCAGTCCATCGCACCTTCCCGAATACAACAACTTTGCGGCAATTTGTTTCATTTTAGTTCTCTATTGGGATGGTGTGCGGACAGAGATAACCCTCCCGCCTGAAGTAATTAGTGATGTTTTCGTAATCTTTTGCCACCCCGAGGTGTTTTCGCACAATTACGGTTATTGCGGCATTTGCGATGATGAGTTGCCTCTACTGGCAGCGCGCCGGGGTAGGCATATAAACTGTTTGGCCCGGAGCGGGGAGCCGGCGAAATCGACGCCAGGCTCGGCGATTAATGAACTTGAAGCGATGCAGTTGCGCTTGCCTGCGAGGGATTCTCCGCGCGCTGCGATCTGGGCACGTAAATAACAGGATATCTGGGGGATTGTAGCTCCATAACCGCGGGGGTGCTGCCAGGTTGCGTGGAAAACGCACATCGTTCAAATTGCCAGGCTGGGAGCTGCTGCCCTTTCCGCCATTATTGCCCCATCTCCTTTATGGCCCTGCGAAAAGGCCAGCCAGACAATGGGATTTTCCAAAGAGCCAAACAGGATTTTTTAAGGGGTACTTTTTTTTTTCTCCTGTCAGCGTCCCACAAATTGAAAGCTCAAGTTTGTAAGGTATACAACATGTGTTACAGCAACTTATCTTGGTGCAGTTTCTAGGAGATGTGTGGAGTTTGGAATATAAATTGTACTTCTGTGCAATTTTAGGACAATTAAAGATACATCCTCTGAAGTAGGATCTGTATTCCCCCTCCCCACTAAGTTACATTTATCAAAATTCTTGATTTGTACAGATGCAATCTTTGTCGAGTAATGCTAAGATATCACTAGCCATTGACTACAAACAGATCTGTACCAAAAAGTGTAAAGACCATAGGCTTTATCAATTTTATATCTGAGTTGAAAGTTTACCTGTTGAGATCTAGGTCTGACCACAGATTGCCAAGCTAGTTTGTAGGTAGATTATACAACTGTTAACAACTGTATATATCTTTGTTCAAGTGTTTTGAGATGTACTTGTATACTTGTTTTTGTATGGATATGAGTCAAAAAAGGTAAAGTGTGATTGTTTCCCATATGGGTATAACCTTAAACTTTTCAAGTCTAAGGTCAACCTAGAAGGTTCAAAAAGAAACTTCCTCATAACTCCATGGGTCAACAAACATCTGTCATCACTGTCTGTACAGTAACCCAAAACATTTGAGCTTCCATGAGCCTTGTTTTGTGGTGAACATGAAGTAAATAAATAAAAATAAATAAATAAACTGATAAACATCAACACAACAAAGTTATCCCTGCTATGTAAGTGTTTTCAGAATATCACATAAGCCACAAGCACAACTCCCCACTGCTTTATTGCACTTGGATGTGATTTTTATTGCAGCAAATTAGCATCCTTCATTCCGTGTGCTTTCAGCCCGCTCTCTGCTCATAGCCCAGTAAATCAGACTCAGACTGATGGTATCGTACTCATGACTTTAACTATTGTGCTGCAAGGCATGCGACCAATTTTGGCTTTTCTAATTGCGGAA